TTAGCTTTCCGCTACAGATACACAAAATACACGATTTTCTCGACAAAATTTTCCGCTTAACATAAGCATGACCTAACGAGCAAAGTATGCCACATTTTTATTTCCGCGTCGCCAGACTACGTTGTATATCAATTTCAAGCAAAAGCACTCGAAACAGATTTTCACTTAATGGCACATGCCAGCATTCGCCGTAGTAAAGTGTTCAACGGCACACAACCTCGCGACTATTGTGCCAAGTGCGCGCAGCTACAAAACTCTTTCAACTGTCGTCCCGCGAAGTGTCGTAACGCACACCGAAGCATCATGTTTACGTTTTCTAGAAGACAAAAAATATGCAGTTGCCGAAAGAGAATAAAACAAGAACTCGTTCCTTCCGGCACCTTTGAATAATTTCGTTATATCAACTTAATGTTCAATCCAGATCTCAACTAAAGATGCAACTATAAAAATCGTTTTGCGCGACAACTTTTGTATCTCTTTAATCATCTATTTATGGATGTATGAATAGAGAAAAAAAGTAGGAAAATTTCAAATTTTTCATGCAAGTTCTTACTTTATAAAACAGATTATTTTTTTTTTAATATAGAGAGTATAACTTCGCAATATAGCAACTCATTTGACAGTAATATTTTTGTATAGCTGAATCCAATTTGACTGAATGCTTAACAAATCGTGCAATATTACAGTTTAATAACCGAGAAGAAATGTTGGTCGAATGTCCCTTTGACAAAAATCGCGTTGCTGCGCAGCCGACGAACTCCGCAGTTTTAATTTCACTCTGCAACGATAGAGACGGATAGTATCGACGAAAAAAGAAATGAGCAGTCGCCCGTTTACCGACCCGCATATAGGTACCGCCGACGATGGGTATACACGGATCTATTATTCATGCATGAATTTGAAACGCACGTTACACCAAATTGGTACCCTAAAGGGCTAACGTAGCGTACTGAATATTACAGACGGTTTTTAACATGGAAATCAATTCCGCGTATCAGATTCATACATAATAGATGTAAAGGAGTTGTTTCATGGAAAAAACCTATTCCACCGGGAAGTTTATACTGAAAAGCTGATGCGGTGGTGTAGTCTGATGAAAGGATCAACAGGGTCGATAGCTATTGGATGCATTAGCGTGTCATTATACGCATATTACGTACAAAGGCGGAATAAGCATTACTATTATGTACGTTCCAATAATATCGTTTCGCTGCGTAACGTAGTTTATACCTCAAATTCTGTAACTCTCAGCAAAATGCTTTCCATTCCGTGTAAGGACAGAAATATCATTGTATCGCGCAATCTTAATAAAACGGAATCCCTTCTACGTAGAAGCTGGAATATAATCGAATGTTTTCTTCTCGCGTTCGCGATGCTACGCGAAAGAACTCGCAGTCTGTAATAGCGGAAAATTTTTACTGCGCGTGGAATTACCCGGTAAGCAACACCGACAATTGTCGCAAAACGCTCAAGCATTTCCGCGTTGTCTTATCGCGAATTACGATAGAGTCGAAATTTATCGCCACAACGAAGCACCGTGAAATGCTGCTTACCGCTATCGCGATAAACATGAAGCGCAGACGTAATCGCGATTGTGCCCTTTCCTTTTCGTATTCCGGCCACTTTCCGACACAAATGAGCTTTTAGATCTCGCGACTGTTGTGCATACAAGATGACCTCTAAACATAAAAGCGCACGCAAACTGGTTCAAATATTTTTTTTTTCAAAAGTATGATGCCGATGTTATCATTAATAGACACCATTATTTGAATACAATTAATTTTCTAGTCTCTCGCTCACATCTCCAGTAAATCCACTATTTACAACTTCACGAAAAGTACAGAAGTTCATAAAAAAAAAAAAAGAGATGGAAGCATAAAGCGAAACTTTTCATGCTACGTTTGTACAATAATCAGATTTCGAGGATTTAAACGATTTTGACACGGGTGGTACGGGAAAAAGTTTCAATCCCCCGCCCTCCGCAATTAAGCGTAGACGTCCGCTGTCAGATACACTCACGTCGCTCGCGGTACTCTAAAACTCTGAATTCGTAAATCAACATGCGCAATATTCGGCGAGAAGTCGAATCCATTCGACGAGTGAAGACTCGGGACTTTAATCTGAAAGGATATCGATCGTGCCGCGAAAAAAGAATATGTAATAGGTAATGAAATGACCAATCTAATAGAAAGACGAGATATATTCGCGATAGTCAGTCGCACAATCATATTGATAACGCAAAATCGGAGCAGACTGAGACGGTAACTCATTACCGTTCGCGGTTAACGATTATCGAATATCGGAAATCTCGTATTTACACCTACATGTAAACGCAGGTGCGCACGTGGCGCGCGGGAAAGGAAAGGAAACAGAAAGAGAGAGCGAGTGAAATAGTTAGCCATACATGACAGCCGAACCAAAAGGAAATAGCTAGAAGCGCTGACAAGGTATTTACAGCCAAACTCAACTACGGTGTAATTGAAATGTCAATTTCGTAACAGTAACTTTTGAAACCGTTGCAGCGACAGTGACTAGGGCAATACAGATTGGATGAGCAAGGACGTCAAATACACAGTGCACCGTATAATTCCTTGTGCTATATATTTTCTTCTCCCCAACATAATAATAAAATAAAATAAATAAATTCAATGATTTCACTTGTAAACTTAAAAATTTATATTTAAAATATTTACTAGAACTTGAATATTAAATGAGAGGATCGAATTAAATATATAAAATAATATAAAGGATATAGAAATACAAGATACAAAATAAATATAAAACGACGTAGAACGATGGAACTCGCGTGCTTGATATCAAGTTCGCTCAAACGAAGAAGAAGACAGTAAAAGAAGCAGAGGATCTATTGTTAGTTGCCGCGGGCGAAACGAGGCGGATCATCTTTCGGGCCAGTTAAAGTTTTTATCGTGACCGACACACTGTGTGCCATACGTCACAGCCCGGCGAGTTTCCCTCGCCGGGTCCTCGAACTCGCGCGGCGGCTATTTATAAAGAAAAATTATGCCCTTGAGATTGCGTAATGAGCTCTCGTAGCCGGAAACGTTGCGACCGTCTTAAGCGCCCCTATGCTGGTTCACGCGCCCCAAGCGCGAAAGTAAAAAAAAAAAAAAACGAAAAGGTTCCTAAAATTTCTGCTTTCACCGTTATGCCGGGTCACTGCAAACCAAGCGATCAATTTTTACATGTTTTTACGATTATATTTTGTTGTTGAAAATAATAAATATTATATAGATATTGATTCTTATTAATAAAAGTACTAAAAGCACGACATGCATAAGAATTCGACTTTTTTTGTAATGAGTGTGTTATAGCTCATCGAAGCGGATATTAAATGGTTAGGAAGCAATTTATCTAAATAGATTGTCGTTGAAATTTTTCGATAACCGCATCGCTATTCAAACGCGTATGTGCTTTATCGCTTAACAATGTGCGCTTGTCACACACATACGAAAGTGTATACACGTATATATTTCACGTATATATTTCGACTATATATTCGACTATAATTTCTCTATTGCTGTTCCCCTTTCCAAAGTAGTCGCATAGGGCGCTGCCTTATCACACGTAAGCGAGTGTATCGTGCTGATAAGATCGCTTCCGGATACATAA